ACAAAGCGGGCCAATTTTGTAGCCCAGTGGTAAAGCATTCGATCGTCACACTGAAAGCCCGGGTTCAATTCCTACATGGGTACAATGTGTGCAGCCATTTTCCGGTGTCCCTCAGCGTGATATTGCTGAGATATTGCTAAAAGTGTCGTAAAACGAAACTCGCCCATTCGTTCAAGAGACAACACGAACAAAGGTGAAACCTATGCCATGTACGGCAATATTGGAGGGTAGAGGGGAACCACATGTTCTGAATCTAAGCAAAGCCACGCCTTTACAAGATAATCGGTGAAGCTAAAGGGATCATTGTCGGAACACCTTATGCTATAATGTACCCTGATTACTTTTGAGTATGACCGCCTCCGTGGTGTAGTGGTTAGAGCGTCCGACCGGAGAGCGGAATGTCGCGGGTTTGATCCCCGTCCGCGTCATACCAAAAGACGTTAAACTATGGTACTTGTTGGTCCCCGCCTGGCGCTCGGCATTAATGGGTACAACAAGGACTGGTCGGCTCAGACTAATAATGTGTCTGAGTGGGGTATTCATGCTTCACTGTGGCATGGCATCTCAGTGGGCTAGCACTATCAAACCAGCTTCAGTCTGGGCTAGTACAAGCAGCCGCACATACACATACACACGCATGCACGTTGTCATATGAGCAAAATATTCCCAAAAGCACGACGTTAAACACAATTTAAGACAATACACACATGCTTTTAAAACAGCCCCGGGCTCAAACCATACATTCAATGATAATACTTAACTGCATGATGTCACATGATGCAAAATATATTGCTAACAGCATCGAAGATTGCTTGATATTAGATATTAGTGGAAATTACTTTAAGCTATATATAAATTCTCACATTGTATAAAATGTAACTTGAAAAATCGTGAAAACATTTGCAATATCGGCACGACCGTATAAGAAAGTCGCGATCGGTCATCGTTGTAAATACTTCCAATGTAGCTAGTGCTACAAATCGGATATCTTTTCATTACTTGTTATTTTTGGAAAAGCTGCATGGCAGTGTCATACAGAACTGGATGAAATCACATTGGATCAAACCATATTGGATCAATTCGCAATGGATGAAGTCAGGGCACATAATAATGTTGCGACGCTACCTAACCACCCTTAATTAAACGACTTTTTAACTATTAACATACATTTGTAAAGATGAATATAGTCAGTTTCAAAATGACCAGACCTGTTGGTAGACAGAACATTCGTATCCCTGCAACTCCAAAGTAACCGTATATATGGCGATATCCATAAAATTGTTAAATGACTTATAACTGATGATTATGTACATGACTGTAAAATACGATATATCGTGTCTACCATTAAATCTGGATCGTTCCTGTTCTTATGCTTTCAGGAACTTACTTTACTTTATGATTTTATATGGTTATGTCAGTCAGTTGTCAGTGCAGATATGTTTCTTAATAAATTTAGAACTCGGTCTGTTAATATGTTTCACCAGGAAAGACATTCCACTTTAGAAGATAGTTCACGATATGCTTATTATAGAACTTTCAAGACCTTCCTTCAACCAGAATTTTTTTATCAATACTCACGACGGAAAGTTGAAGGAAGCATTTCATTAAATATCGGCTAGGTTTGTTAACCCTTTTAGTAAATGAAGGAAGAAAAACATTCCATTGCAAAATCGAAATGAATCTGTCAGTTATGCGCTATAGAAATAGAACATGAGATTCACTTTGACTTCGTCTGTCCATTTTACAGTGACCTTCGAAAGAAATATATTAAAGATTATTTGATAGGGATGCCGCCATTGAAAGCTTTCGTATATATTTTAACGACTAAGATCTTTACTTTACTTTAAGTAAGCGCAGTGTTCCGAGGGAAACCAATATATGTTCAGAGTGTAGTTTCACAACTGATAGTCTGTTCTGAATTTTTTCAAAGCTGTCTATTTTACCCATCTTACAAGCCTTTGATATGTGCCCCACCATAATTACCGCACATGTCGAGTCACGGCCAGTTACGACATTTTTCAGTATCCTAGAGGGTATACCAAGAGCTTTAGATACTTTCTTTAGATATTCATCAATGGCATGGAATGTTTTCCCTCTCTCTGTTACAAGTCTGAAATAATCAAACACCTTCATAATCAACTGTTTAACTCATGTTGGCAGTCAACCCTGGCTGTGCTGAGTTGCACTGTCCCACCAGCCGTCTGTCGCACCTCGGTGTGAAGCGTGAAAATAGGACACTATTACATGAGAGTTTCTTAAACAATTATTTCCGTGATTGATCATAAAACGTCATTCAGATCCTGTTGAGTTCAGAGGTTTCAGGACAATGTGTCTTATTTATGTTTTGTGCACTTATCCCTATTTAATCATTTATCGATCTCATTTGAACCCAAACAGGCTTTAGTCATGCAATTGAGAGGAACCAAACCCAGGCCACCACGACCAATGCCGAGTCGGTCAACTTGGTACTTGGTATACAAGCATGACTTTCGTAGGCGAGGTCCGCATATTTGCCATGTTTCTCTTGAATCTTCTCTGTGACATCTGTGTCAGAAGGTACAGTAAATAAATAAATTTATCTAGGGTAAATACGGTAGTCCAGACCGACTACCGTGGAGACATGTGCTGCACGAGAAGTTGTGCTTGTTTAGTCACGTGATAGAAGGTTACAAGGTGGGTTGAAGATATTGTTTCGTCACTCGAGGTCTACGCGTTACTCAGGCGAGTAGCTTTGCCTTGGTTTTATTTTCATTGGAGACAAGGCCACTGGGCCGTGTGTTTGGCTACCCACCGGGCCGTGTGTTTGGCCACTGGGCCGTGTGTTTGGCTACCCACCGGGCCATGTGTTTGGCCACTGGGCCGCGTGTTTGGCGACTGGGCGGTGTGTTTGGCAACCCACCGGGCCGCATGTTTGGCCACCCACCGGGCCGTGTGTTTGGCCACTGGGCCGTGTGTTTGGCCACTGGGCCGTGTGTTTGGCCACTGGGCCGCGTGTTTGGCCACTGGGCCGCGCGTGTTTGGCCACTGGGCCGCGTGTTTGGCCACTGGGCCGTGTGTTTGGCCACTGGTGCCGCGTGTTTGGCCACTGGGCCGTGTGTTTGGCCACTGGGCCGTGGGTTAGGCCACTTGGCTGTGTGTTATGAATGTGGGCCACTGGATCATGTTACAAATGCAAGCTACCGGGCCGTGCTGTACACATGCAGGCCATGGCTGTGATGTTATGGTGATATACAAAGTTACTTGATTGAGGATCAGCAGAAGTCAAAAGAAAGAATTGTACGTATCCTGGGATTGGCGACAGGGACACAGCCAACGACTCAACAGAGACGAATCTTATGGAGTGGAACGGTCAATATTCTAAGTTATGTATGCTTTATGTTTAGGCTGACAATTCTTGTGTGGGTCTAAAATGGTTTGTTTTTCTGTAGTTACTTGCAAATGTTTAAAGTAACGATTGGTTATGTTCCCGAATATTTAGTAAAGCAAAGGGATTATATTTCCATTTCAGTTAAGTCAACTTCAGAGTTACTTATTGATGAAGTTTGCAATTGTATTGATGGCTTTTATGTACCTTTTTCAGAGGCAGTTCAGCTCAGGGCTGAGTCGTCTCGGGTGTATAAAAGACTCAAGGATGCATGATTACGTGGAGATCCGGCTTTATGTTAGTGTGAACTATGGAAGGATATCCGATTGGGCAGTGTATGGACTCGAGCGCTTATCGCATATTTATATCTGTGATCTGTGTCGATGAGCTCTTGCTATGTAAATTTCAGAAATAAACCTGCTCGCTCTCGAGGCGCGGTAGACAGCACCCTGTATTACGAGTATGTTATACTTGGTAAATGTTTTATGTTCGTTTGAGCGAAGCGAATTAGAACATAATATGATATAAGTAATGTCATTGGTTTTATTAAAAGCGGCAAGGTCAGGTTTCTTTGTTTGGATATGTCTGTGGAATTCCATTTTGTAATTGTCAATTTCCATGACACCTTTACGTATTCTTTGTCGTATATATTGTTACCGTATATCATTCCAACGTGATAGTAGTATGTGGAAATAGAGTGTGTCATCTCCAGACAATGGTCGACCAGCTTAAGGGTGTCCTCCCATTTGTGAGACACATTAATTAATGGTTCAGTGCACATAGGTGGTGTATCCACATCCCTACAATAAAAGTGGATCAGCCCAGTTATTGAAGAGTACCCACAGGAGGCATAGTTCATTGATGAGGTGATTAATGAAATAGATTATCTAAGATAATATTTACTCAGAAGAAATAGTTCATTAAATATTTTATTTATTCAGAAGAATATGTAATTATGATAACACATTTTATTGACTATTATGAAGTTTCAAAGGCATTTCTGTTTAAACATATTTTATTATTTATGAAAACGAATTGGGATTGGTGAACAAGCATTACTGTTTATGTTAACACCGGTCCCATGCAACATGAAATACTAAATGAAATGGAGGATGTGACGTCATCGATATTGACTTTTTGCAAAATATACATACATATAAATAAAGTAAGTTTCATTTAGTTACCTCCACAAGATTCATTTACATAGCAAATCAGTAATTAGCTAGGGTTAATCCATTCTATCAGGGCACCCATGAAGGGCCACCTCCTCGTGGTGGGTGCTGGGTAACGCTAAGCGCCCTTCAACCCCCGTTGTGGACCCGGGGAATATTTGGTCCACCAACCTGTTTGCCGTGGGTTGCGCCCCTGTGTCGGTGGAGGACGGGAGGCTGGTGGTTGAGGGCACTGGGAGCCTGGAGCCGTGTTCCGTTTGCCCAACACACCACTTCGCCCCTTACTTCACCTAGACGGGTGGTGGAACTGGCCCGGTTCCATCAATCGGCTGGTCACGCCATGCCCTGTGCATGGACATGTTCATGTTGACATTATTTTGCTTACATTGTATGTTGACACTGAATATTGTGCTTATTCTATTGTCATTATAATATTTGCCTAGAGTCCTATGCCAGAAGGCGGTGGCTCATAGGCCAATCTGGTGATATTGACCCCTGAATTCTATGTTTCTTGAGAGATGTGTCATGGGCCGAACCAGCCTGGCACATGTTCTTTTGGATATCATAGCTATTCATGTCTTTATTTACTGGAGTATGACATCTCTGTAGTCCTGGTGTTACAGCCTGGCTTCCGCTGTAACGTCGTCCTTGTGACCTCCATGGCGGGTGGGGAGCAGAGATGTTGAATATATTTATCCCATCATGTCTCTCCACAATCAATCTGGTTCTTCAAAGCTAACAAATGTCGACATGTTGATTCTGATGATGAAATATCAACGGAAAACTCTGATTCTTGGCCTAGGTTTATCGTTGTTGCTTCTGCTGACGGTACTCCATTGAAACTCAACCCTTTTGCTATCTCCAAAGGCATTGAAGGTGCCTGCGGAGAAGTTAAGAATGTTACCTTCCTCCGAAATGGTTCACTGTTAGTGGAATGTGCTCGGAGGCAGCAATCTGTCAACCTGCTTGGTCTTAAGCAGTTTGTTAATACACAGGTTGTTGTCTCGGTGCACAGAACACTGAACTCCAGTAGAGGAATTGTTAGAGATCGGGCAAAGTGTCTTACGTTCATGAGTGAGGAGGAAATTGTAGCTGAATTGGGAAGTCAAGGTGTTACAGCTGTGAAGCGTTTCACCAAAAAACAAGAAAACAGTATAATAAAAACAAATACCTACCTGTTTACATTTAACTGTCCGACCATTCCAAAGTCTATTAAAGCTGGCTATTTCAATATTGCAGTGGACGTATACATACCTAATCCTCTCAGATGTTACAAATGCCAAAGATTTGGACATGGCGCTAAGTCTTGTCATGCAAAAAATGCTGTTTGTTACCGTTGTGGTGGCACTCATGAGAGTTCTGAGAGTACAAATGAATCACTCACATGTGTCAACTTTGGCGGGGAACATGCATCCTCTTCCAAATCATGTCCTGTCTTTGAACGAGAGTCAAAAATACTGAAAATTAAATATACTAACAATGTTTCATATCATGAAGCTAAAAAGTTAGTTTCTGTTCCTTCTCAGACTTCTTCTATTTCTTACTCAGCTGTAGTTTCCTCTTCTCCTATACCTGTTGTCAAACCTTCCGGAGTTTCTACTCATTGCCAAACGTTGATCAGTTTGGTGAATGATGATCAGATCATTCTGGAACAAGTTTCCTCTGTACCGGACACATCAGTATCCGAAACACAAACGGATGTTCAACTGACACAAAACTCAGAACCAGCAAATGTTACAAGAGATAACTCAGTGCACTTAACAAAAGCAGAAAAGAAACAGATGAGAAGAAGGGCCAGGGCCCTCCAAAACTTGGAAGTGCCTTCTTCTCCCTCAGCCCCCGCAAACGGTTCAAAATCGTTTTGAACCTTTAGACATGGAGGTCCGCCCTCCAGTCTCTACTCATAGGAGTAGGCAAGCATCACGTTCTCCAGTTAAACCACCATGAACGGTTATCAACAAGTAATCCAGTGGACTTGCAGAGGCCTCAGGAACAATTTTAACGATCTACAAATTTTATCACAAGGTTTTACACCATCAGCTTTTAGTCTACAAGAGACGTACCTGAAAAGTACAGATCGATTTGAATTGCGTCGGTACAATTCATTTCATTCATTCTCACCTCCAGGTGATAAAGCCACTGGCGGTGCTTCTATTCTCGTGAGGCAGGGTGTAATCCATAGCCCAGTTCCTCTTAAAAGCAATCTTCAGGATGTTGTTGTCCGTCTTACTCTACAGATAACCTTTACGCTTTGTTCTTTGTATATTTCTCCTTCTTCAGTTCTTCAGCAGTCCGATCTTCAGGATCTATTTGACCAGCTCCCGAAACCCTGTATCATCATGGGTGATCTTAATGGACATAACCCTCTGTGGGAAGTTCCGCAACTAACACTCAAAGGTAAACTCCTTTGAGGATTTCATTTCAAATAATAATTTATGCCTATTTAATGATGGATCAGCCACATATTTGCATCCTGGTACAGGAACATATTCTGCACTTGATCTGTCACTAACAGATCCAAACATTTATAACGAATTTGAATGGTCGGTCCACGACGACCTGTGTGGAAGTGACCATTTTCCCACAATACTTTCAGCTATAAACCCTAATGATGAGCCTCCTACGACAAGGCGGAATTTTAAAAGGCCAACTGGACTTTATTTCAGACTCTTTGTTTTGACCGATTGAAATCTGACTGTTTTGTCAATGTTATGGATCCTATTCAGTTGTTCTCGGACAAGCTAAATATAATAGCTGATGAAACAATTCCTAAGTCCTCTGTGACACACACACATTCGTAAACCATGGTTTACTGATGATTGCAAACAGGCCAGGAAGTGTAGGAAGAAGGCAGAGAAATACTTTCGCCGGCATCCTACAGTTCACAATTTAAATAATGTTAAAATCACTAGTGCCAAGGCTCGACGTGCTTTTAAACAGAATAAGCGTCAGTCTTGGCGAAATTATGTTTCCAAGATAAACTCACGGACACCGATTTCAAAGGTGTGGAACATGATACAAAGGATAAAAGGTAAAGGTTCCAAATCTACTGTTTCATCATCTGAAGGATGGTGATAATTTGTTAACTGATCAGACTGACATTGCCAATAAGCTTGGTGAAACTCTCGCCAAACATTCGTCTTCCTCCATTATGTCCCTGAGTTTCAGAAACATCAGGAAACAACAGGAGAAGAAACGAATAAATTTTACCTCAGACAATGGAGAAGACTACAATGAATTATTTTCAATGCATGAGTTACGTACTGCCCTTGAGCAAGCTCATGATACTGCAACAGGGGCTGATAATATACCCTATCAGCTCTTGAAACATTTTACCTGCATCATGTTTAGAAACACTTCAAAATATTTTTGATACAATATGGACTTCAGGAAATTTTCCAACTTCGTGGCGTAAAGCCATAGTAGTACCTATACCAAAGCCTGGCCGGGATCATACAGATCCGTCAAATTACAGACCAATCTCTTTAACGAGCTGCGTCTGTAAAACCATGGAACGAATAGTAAATAATAGATTAACATGGTATCTTGAAACCAATAATCTCATAACAAATATTCAATGTGGTTTCAGGAAAAATCGTAGTACCATTGATCATTTGGTACGTTTAGAATCCTTTGTTAAAAATGCTATAATAAATAAACAACATGCAGTATCGATATTCTTTGATCTTGAGAAAGCATACGATACCACCTGGAAGCATGGCATTTTAAAGGATTTACATGATTTTGGTTTAAGGGGTCGTTTACCTCTTTTTATATCACAGTTTTAAAAGACAGGCAATTTCAAGTCCGAGTGGGTTCAACCCTGTCTGACCATTACAATCAGGATCAGGGTGTCCCACAAGGCAGTATTTTGTCTGTCACTTTATTTAGCATTAAGATTAACAGCTTATCCAAGGTTTTAAATGATTCAATTGATGGATCACTTTTTGTGGATGATTTTAACATTTCTTGTCGCGGTAAGAATATGCATACTATTGAACGGCAACTACAGTTGTGTTTAAATAAAATACATAAATGGTGTCTTGAAAACGGCTTTAAATTTTCTAAATCAAAACTAATTGCATACACTTCTGCCGTAAATATAAACCACATAAAGACCCAGAACTGTTTTTAAATGGCACTCCCATCAAGGTTGTAAAAGAGGCCAAGTTCTTAGGTCTCATTTTCGACTCCCATTTAACTTTTCTTCCGCATATCAAATCTCTCAAAACTAAATGCCTGAAAGCACTTGATTTATTGAAAGTCGTGTCTAATTCAAGGTGGGGAGGGGATCAAGCTACGCTCTTACACCTTTACAGATCACTTGTCCGCTCGAAGCTTGATTATGGCTCCATCGTTTATGGTGGAGCCTGTAAAGGCAACCTAAAACTCTTAGATTCAGTCCACCATCAAGGTCTGAGACTTTGTCTTGGGTCCTTCAGAACATCTCCTGTTGACAGTCTCTACGTCGAGGCAGATGAGCCTTCTCTTACCCAACGCCGTATAAAATTATCATTACAGTATATTACGAAGCTATATTCTAACGAGTCTAATCCTGTGTTTCACTGCATCTTCACTCCTCTTTATGGGATTTGTATAACAAAAGCCTTCTCTTGTTCCGCCTCTTGGGCACAGAATTAAACCATTCCTTTCTGCTGCCGGCATTGATCTGGAGAATATATCTCCTTCTCGTCTTCTTTCTTCTCCTCCTTGGCAATTGGTGAGGCCAGACGTTGACTTAACATTAACCACATTTTAAAAAATCCGAAACTAATGATTTACAGTATAAACAAGAATTTAGTCAATTAAGAATTAAATATAATACCTATAAATCCTTGTATACAGATGGATCCAAGGATGGTGGCGCGGTTGATTGTGCCACTGTCATTGGGTCCAAAACAATATCTTCCAGACTACCCAATGACAGTTCAATTTTCACAGCAGAAGCAAACGCAATACTAACAGCTCTTAAATATATTAATAAACATGGTAAATATACACAATATATCATCTTTTCAGATTCTCTTTCGTGTCTTCAGGCTATTAAAAATCTTTTCTTGCAAACATCCACTTTTACTAGAAATTATTGAATTGTATAATGAGCTTGCTACTAGCCAATGCGACATCGTCTTTTGTTGGTTACCCAGCCACGTTGGCATTTCTGGGAACACGATGGCTGATATTGCTGCTAAGGCTGCACTCAACAAATCTGTGACACCACTTCTGCTCCCCATACTCTGATTACAAAGCTTGCATTAGATCTCACATCCGTGATCTGATGCAAAAGAAGTGGGACACCCAAGTAGGTATCAATAAATTACATGAAATAAAACCCTATATCGGTTACACTTACTTGGGTTGTCAGTCCAGATTTGAAGAGGTCATCATACGACGATGTCGTATTGGCCACACAAGATATACGCATGAGTACCTATTGAAAGGTGAGGATCCTTGTGATGAACGAATCACGGTCAAGCATGTCTTGCTTGACTGTGTTGAGTATTCCCTCACAAGGGATATCTATTTCAAATCACGAACGATGAAGGATCTTTTACTAATATACGTCCTCATTTAATTATTGCTTTTTTAAAAGAATTAAATTTGTTAACAGATTTGTAAATAGCTAAATATTTTATGATTGAAAGTTTGAGTTAGTAACACAGATTGTTAGTGGCTGTATCCTCGAGGGGGTTAAAGTACTGTAAAATTATTGTCCTCCTGAGAGGGTACGTAAGTCCCAAAACATTCAAAGTCAATTTCAACTTTCTTTTTAATCGTAGAATATGTAATTTTAATGTTTGGCTAGATACATCTCAATTGCTAACAGCTGAGGGATGATGTAAATCCAGCTAGGCCCATGCAGGAAGCAAATGTACTGTAAGTCCCCATGGTCCCTAGTATTAGCGATCTATAGCCTATTTTTATATTGTGTTGTCCACTATAGTTAAAATGTTTTTAGACTCTATTACTAGTTTTACATATATATCTGTGATATTTATAGTTGTTTTACTGCCCTTCGTTGGCAGTTTTTTTTATAATATACATATATTACATTTCAATATCGAATGTTCTCGTCACGATATGGCTGAAATATTGCCGCTGTGACGTTAAATATTAACTCACTCACTCACTCACTCACCATTCTATCAGACACAGGAGTATGGTGTGTTTTCTTTGTTAATTACCTAGTTCACTGTCTCATAACTGGGAGTCTCACAATTGGGAGTTCTCACAAATGGGAGTAGACCGCTTAAGAACAGGAACGAAAGATTGGTTTAAGCACACAGTAAGGATAGAGTCTGACTTGGTCCACTTAGTATACCATGTACATAATGACTATATGACCATATTCAGAGATTCTACAGACCCAGGGAAGGGATTGAGCTGATATGACAGTAAGGTCTTTTTGTCCTATGGCTAACTGTGGCATGCCTCAAAGTCAAATCCTGCCTGTGTAGGCAATGCAACCAGGATGGCTCTTTTCTGTATGTAGGGTACACTGAGTAAAGTACTTATACAAGTACACACGATCGTGTGCTGGCCATTAGGTGCCTCATTCGTCCAGGGTTAGTTCAAATCCCGGATTAAACTCAACCAAATTGCAAATGTTCAAGAAACTGTACTTTGCTCGGAAACTGGGATTTGGGATATGATGGATGTATGCCTACTTTTCCAGTTAAATATACAGGTGAATTGTATGGCTGAAACAAAACAAGGGCTTAATTACCCATTTCGACACTTTGGAATATCTGACGACATTGATCATATAAACGTGATCATAACAGCACACCCCCACACCTCTACAACCACACATCCCTACCCCCACACTCACAGACCCTCACCCACACCACACACCAACACACCAACCCAACGACAAAAGATATTATGTTGCCGTTTCTTAACAATGACTTATGTGACGGGTGTCCTTTGGAGCTAAGGCCAAACCAGTAACATTCTCTCTGAGCTTGACGGTGGTGACTCGACTGTCAGTGTTAACGAATACAAATACGAATATTTAGGCTTCCTTTGGAGTATCAGGTGCAATCTAATTACTTATAGTTGGTTACAAGTTTATTTGTTTTTAAAAATTGAAATAACGACGGAGAAAATGATCGATGCACGGATACTACGAGTTAAAAGTGTTTTCAAAATATATTTGATGTAACGAAATAATGATCGAAATTACGATAATATAATTGAAGTAACGAAAAATAGCTATTCTGAAAAGAGAAAAAGTCCTTTGAAATAAGAGTAATTAAAATGATTTATGCTGCCAATGGGGTACCGTTATACTGTCGTTGGTTACAAGGTGACCAGCTCGTGTTATTCCGGAACAAGCCGAATAGCTTCATGGAGTTTACGGAAAGGGTGGTGACGAATGGCTTTGGCACGTGTATTTCTTCGGGAGTTACATTATTTGCATTATATCTTCAATTTAGCGTTGCATTACTCGACATTGGTGCAAGAAGCAAGATGCATGTGATTGTTAAACCATTTTGGAAGTTCTCGAAGACATCTACGCATGTCAGTGTGGTGTGACAGTTTATGAACCACTCAGCTGTCACACGTTATATAAGATTATGACGGACAACTTTCCTCATTGTAATTATTGATACGCTGGGCGAGAGAAGAATTTGAGGTAATGCAGGTGAAATCCATGACCACGACTATGGTGCGTTGAATTTCTGTGGATCTGGGATTTAAAACTATGATTATCGTATTTTGGCACGCAGAAGATTACACCATAATAATTTAACATCAGCGAACATTTATATGTCAAGTAAGGCAACGTTCCCCGTCTACAAAATGTAGATAAAGTAGAAGGTTTGTTTGACAATTCCCAGTCTACAAAATATAGATTAAGTGGAGGTTTTAGTTTGACAATTCCCAGTCCACAAAATATAGATTAAGTAGAAGGTTTTAACTTTACATTTCCCAGTCTACATAATGTAGATTAAGTGGAAGGTTTTAGTTTGACAATTCCCAGTCTACAAAATGTAGATTAAGTGGAAGGTTTTAGTTTGACAATTCTCCGTCTACAAAATGTAGATTAAGGTGAAGGTTTAAATTTACATTTCCCCGTCTACAAAATGTAGATTAAGTAGAAGGTTTTGTTTGACCTTTCCCCGTCTACAAAATATAGATTAAGTGGAATGTTTTAGTTTGACAATTCACAGTCTACAAAAATTTAGATTAAGTGGAAGGTTTTAACTTTACATTTCCCAGTCTATATAATGTAGATTAAGTAGAAGGTTTTAAGAATAATGACAATTATTATGGATATACAACTTCTTTTATTCTGTGGAGGCGACGTTCCTCCTCCTGCCATCCTATTCAGGTCAAGAGAGGTGTCATCGCCACCCTAACCCGACGAGAGCTAAAAATATCTGTTCTACATCCCAGTCTCTTAGTGCCGAGCTGGACCACATCAGATATGTTTTCACCAAATACAACGAATACCCTTCCCCTTTGTCACCCTGACCATCAACAACACCCTCGACTCAACAACCAAACCGCCCCGACAACAAAGAGCCCCTTCACCATCAGTCTGCCATACATAGGATCAACTAGCCATCACATCCGAATACTCTTTGAAGCAACAAGCTGACATTGACGTCACCTTCCAAAGAGGCAACAGCATCCAGAACCTCTTGCAGGCCACAGGAAGATCAAGGTCGTCCCAGAAGCAAGACCCCTTAGGTGTGGTTTACCACAGAGAATGTGACTGCGGTGACTCCTATGTTGGAGAAACATCAAGGCCACTCACCCTCAGGATCAAGGAACACCAGGCGTCAGTCAGAAAAAATATTCTAAATCAGCCATTGCCGACCACATAAAAGCCCATCCTGACCACACCATCAAATGGGACAAGACCAGAACCATAGTAAAGAACCAGTCAGACTACAAACTCCGTAAACTTTTTGGAAGCAGTACACATCAAGAAAATAGGACCTGCCCTCAACAGAGATGAAGGATACTACATTCCCAATGCCTACCATCACTTGATAATGTAATTATAATATTCTTTGTGTACATTACCTGTTTCATTCCAACCATGTACATCAACCCCATCAAGTGTATAAACATCCACCTGGCTTCCTATCAGTTATATAAGCTCTAACTTAGCCCCTTGTATGTCACCCTACTGGCTTCCTATCAGTTTACCCTATCTCTCATATAAACGTTGTACATCAACCTCATCTATTGTATAAACAAGTCATTCCCTATCTACTGTAACAACAACTCCTGTATATATTCTCTCAATTTGTTACTCATGTATCACTTCCTTGACAACGACATTAGAACCTATGTCGAAACGTCGCCTCCACAGAATAAAAGAAGTTGTATATCCATAATAATTGTCATTATTCTTCATCAACTCAACTTCTAAAATGCCCATCAAACAGGTAGAAGGTTTTAGTTTGACAATTCCCAGTTTACAAAATGTAGATTGACAACCATTATTGGCATGAGTATGTATATGACCCGTGAAGTTCGAATTATTTCTTCAGCAAGCCTTGCTTGTACTGAGAGGCGACTGATGGGTTTTCAGGCTCGCTGACTTGGTTGACGTATCCCAATTACGTAGATCGATGCCCATGCTGTTCATCACACGATTGTCTGGTCCAGACTCGAATATTTACAGACCGCGGCCATACAGCTCGAAAACAACAAACCAATAATTTTCTGTGCTTTAATTTTGTAGTCAGCACACTTACTTCGTTGTAATAAACGTTGCTCTCGGTGAACCTTGTAACAACGTGGCGTACGGTGTTAAACAACAAACAAACAAAATAATATATTTTTATTTCAGACTGTTCATGAATAGAGTCAAAGGGACAACCTTCTACTGTAGAACAAGTAGGTTTCTATGATCCAGGTGTGGAACCCAGGAATCAAATGAACATAGTCTCTACTTGTCGACATGAATAGAGTCAAAAGGGGAAACCTTCTGCTATAGTAGGTTTCTGAAATAGTAGGTTTCTATCATTAAGGTAGTGTTTATGTATGCATATGTTGCCTGTTTCCTAGGAATCGAGAAAATACTGTAAATCGACAAGGTTTTGCGGGCAGGAAAGTTTTGCTAGTATTGCGAATGACCTCCAGGTGCAAAACTTTCCAGGCGTAATGAAATCTCTCATTTTGTTAAGCAATTAGTCCTGATCCATGAAAATTACGTGATCAAACAATGTAAAGAAGAAGTCCAGATGTTCGCCTACCGGTAATCCCTTTACACAATGTACTTACTTCACAGTTCGCCTACCGGTAATCCCTTTAACACAATGTACTTACTTCACAGTTCGCCTACCGGTAATCCCTTAACACAATGTACTTACATCACAGTTCGCCTACCGGTAATCCCCTAACACAATGTACTTACTTCACAGTTCGCCTACCGGTAATCCCTTAACACAATGTACTTACTTCACAGTTCGCCTACCGGTAATCCCTTAACACCATAACACAATGTATTTCGCCTACCGGTAATTCCCTTTACACAATGGTACTTCACAGTTCGCCTACCGGTAATTTAACACAATGTACTTACTTCACAGTTCGCCTACCGGTAATTCCCTTAACACAATGTACTTACTTCACAGTTCGCCTACCGGTAATCCCTTAACACAATGTACTTACTTCACAGTTCGCCTACCGGTAATTCCCCTAACACGGTACTTCACAGTTCGCCTACCGGTAATCCCTTAACACAATGTACTTACTTCACAGTTCGCCTACCGGTAATTCCCCTAACACAACAACTTACTTCACAGTTCGCCTACCGGTAATTCCCTTAACACAATGTCACACTTCACGTTCGCCTACCGGTAATTCCTTAACACAATGTACACTTACATCACAGCAATCAATTACATTTCTTTAAGAGACATTTTAGAAGTTGCATAGATGAAGGAAAACCAAGTTCTATGGATAGTCAACTTCTTTATTGCAATGAGTGCGGTGAAGGTACTAACAATATAGCTCTCTGTATGTCATTTCCCCGAGGTGTTGCACATCGAAGCTGTTCATGAACGATTTATGAGGTGTTCTACCTGGTGAAATGAACATCAATTAACCAGATTGCCAATGAACCCGATCCCACAGTCCTAAATACACACGCATGTACACACAGCTATAAGTAACATACACCATCAATTGTAGTGTAAACAAAGAAATCTACGGTGTTTCTTGCTATTAATTTGTTCCCTATCATTCCTCAGTTTTACAAACACACACACACACACTCACTCACTCACTCATTCACACACACACACACACAAAACCAAAACAGCAAAGTGTTTTCAGATGTGAACTTTGTGTGTTATATAAATAATCAACGGAACACAACAAATTGTTCAAATGTGGCATCTGTCCACAAATATGGCCCCCTTTGAGAGTCAAGAACTGCCTGGCATCTTCGTCCCATGGAACCAATCAGATTAATAATTTGGGACGTTGTGCCAACTGACTGTATGGTGGAAAAACTTGTCCACGGGTGAAAATGAGTCGCCTGTCTACAGTCGGCCGATGGCGCTGAAACGCTGAGCTTTTGTCAGTCGTGGCATGTTTTCGCTTTTCATTATTGATTCTACAAGATTATTCACAAAATTACGCCTAGTGCATGCAGAAATGAGAAAAGCGCATTTGATATTCATTTTGTATGAATATGAACAAAACTTTCCAGCTAGTTCAATAGGTGTGACGGTGTCCATGCAGTTATTGTAACGTCATTCGTTCCAAACATGTAGTAAAAATATTTTATATTTTGCGTAAGTTCAATGATGTCTGAAATTTCATTACTGTAAACAAATATACACATTAAACAATTTGTCACATGAATTACATTTACACTCAACATTTGCATGGCTACACATGCATGCATGTATTCAGCTAGCTGGATCATAAACTGTTATTCCAAACTGAGTTCAACAATGATAAGTAGGAGTTATCCAGTCCGTGGTGGGTAAAATACCCTGACTCTGCTTTCAATGTCGATTAATTCATACATTGAATCTGGAGGAAACAGTGTAAACGGGAGCTGAATAAGACCTTTAGTATTTGTGCTGTCATCGCTGCTAGGGAGAGATTTTTTATTTTGTTTTTCCAAGCCTGACCGTCCTATCCAGTGACCTGCCTTTCAAGACAACCGTAGGTTGAGGGGCGGTGAGGTAGCCAAGTGGTTAAAGCGTTCGCTCGTCACGCCGAAGACCCGCCGTGATATTGCTGGAATATTGCTAAAAGCGGCGTAAATTCCAACTCACTCACCGTAGGTTGATGAGTTCGTGTTACCGTGGGTACCAGTAGGTGATGTTGGTTTATTGCTGCTTTCAATAGTTCTACGGCTTAAGTCTTCAGACTGTTTCCCCGTGAGATACTGTAGCAGTGTCATAGTCAAGTTCATGACGTCATAGCATAGTCAGGGCATTGTACAAAATCTACAGAGTACGACATGGAATCGTCTGATCTCACACAAGCGATATCTCCTGTGGAACACAGTTTTGGATGATAAATATACGTTCTGTGCTTGTCGTCTCACTGTCTTGATGTCATTTTGAACTGAGTGCGTTTGCTTACTTCGGTTGGTTTTCACTGTTCATGGCTGCCAGGTCAGTTGTTCACGATGGCAGTGTTGTTTCAGGTAAGAGAGGCCAATAAATGGTGGAATGGAGGCATGTGGCAGACCCCATTCTCATCAGAACCACCCTGAAGTAAGATTGATTGATTGTTGCTTAACGCCGCAATATTGACCAATCAGATTAAACATTCTTCGGTGTCATTATATTGACCAATCAGATGAAGCATTCTTCACTGTCATGTAAGAATATCCCATGTACAAGCTGTTCCTTGGATGTTCATTGGATGCTTGAACGTATGTAAGTCCTTGTCGTGACTTTGTGAGGTGTGTAGAGCTATCTGCAAGAGATCACCAGTGTCCATAACCAGACATTTATCATACAAATTCGAGAGGTAAGTTAACAGTCATTGTATATTCTCATTTTCTGTGCATTTTGTTTGTGGACAAGGTAATTAACTCGTTGGCTTAAACATTGCGTATCGTTGAACTTAGTAACAAACTGGCGTAAAAAGCTGCAGAAATAGTTTAACCTGTCAGTGAATACTTATATAACTAATACTGTTGGTTTCCAACCGAGAGTATTCAACTACAGAGATAGTGGATTTCTTATAGTAACGTGTGAATTATACTACAGGTTCATATCTTTACTACAGCAGACAGCTTTTGTTACAGACGTCCTACTTGTCAGTATAGAAATAATAGGTTTTATCATCAAGGTGTGCAACCCCACCTTGGATGCCGGAACGTATACAAGTCTTTGCCGTTCTTTTCATTACATTATTACTCCGAAAACTAAGGGCCTGTTGCCAATGACAACAAAGGTGAAACAAAATGTCCAGCTGTCAATGAGCAGAAGCAGTTCATCAAGAGTAAAGACGTTTTCAGACAGAGATCACCAGCAAATCAAACCATTTTTCTTTGAGGTCTAAAGAACTATATGGATCTGTGTAGAGCAGTTATTCGTCAGGTGTTTTCAGTTATCTGTAAGAGGTCACCAGTATTCATATCCAGACATTTATCATACAAAAGCGAGAGGTAAGTTTACGGTCATTGTATTTTCACATTTTCTGTAAAAGTATTAGTTCAATGCAAACATGTAGGGCCTCAATAAATAATCAATAATACTTTTGTATAATTAACATTGTTACATATACATCGAAATATTTTACCTATTCAACGGTTCTAATAGCATGTGTAGGATGGGCCATAGTTTTAGAAAGTAGGCTTCCTGGTGACGATTAATATATACATATTTTGTGGTATTATATTATTGTATGATTTGTCTCTTGATGTGTGAAATATTTGGAATGAAACTTTTCTTATTACAGTTGTATATGGTATATTTGACTAAAATAATTATCGCATTTAGTGCATAGTTATGTTTTCCTTTAATCCCAAACATTACCTGGGTGTTTGTAAAACTCAATTCTACGTTTACAGTTTTGAGCCATAATTTTATTTAACGCCATATGTTTTTACCTTTGTTTCGTTATAATCGTTGCAGAAGGTACATTTAGGCCTATCCACATGGTTTATTTTGTAGAGGAAATGTCTGACTGGCAATATTCTGTAAATGGTCCTGTACTGCAACCATCTTAATTCGGTACTTGGAGAACATTTATTTGCGATCGAGTTGAAACATTTCGAGTCAAAGTCCGAGTAGTGTGAACCAGTGACGTGTTCCCACTTATCGGAACAAGAGAGTTTAACAGACCGTGAATCAGCTAGCATATCGTATACTTTCTTATGTCCAAGGCGATTGTTTGTACATTTCATTATAAACGGAACACTCAAATCGAAAAGTCAATATCGCGTGTGACCGACATTTGCATTGACACATGCAGTTCAAGGTCTCCTCATTGAGTCAATAAGCGTCCGAATAGAGTTCTTGAGGATGGCATTCCACTTCTGCAGTAGTGCAGCCTCAAGTTCACGGATGTTTCGCATCTGTTGTCGCCGTGAAATACTTTGACCAATTTCGTCCCACAAGTGCTCCATTGGGCTTACATCTGGCGACTGTGCTGGCCAGTGAATAACCTGGATGTGTTGCTGGGCGAGATACTGCATGGAAAGTCTTGTTGTGTGTGCCCGTGCGTTGTCCTGTTGAAAAGTATGGACATATTGGTGGTGATTTAAAAAGATACGATGCGATTCTGAAGAATCTGCTCACGGTAATAAAGGGCATTACTTCTCCCTTGACAGACATGAAGGCAGTCCTGTGATGATTAATTTATTCCGGCCCAGACCATGACACTCCACACCACCCAAAGGTCTGTCTGAATCACACGCTCATCAGCAAAACGTTCACCACGTCTACGCCAAACACGTAATCGGCCGTCAGCATTACGTAGATGAAGACGTGACTCGTCAGTGACTACCACACCACGCCATTGTTGTAACCTTTACTGAAAATGCCTGCTAACCCATTGTATACGCTCATTACGGTGTCTGTCAGTCAGAATTGGTCCAACGTAAGGACGTCGAGCATGGAGCCCTATAGCGTGTAGACGGCGTCGCATGGAATCAGCGCTGATGACCCCACGTCAACCTTGAACTAGTGCAGCTGTCCTGGCAGTCGGCAGTGGTCAATCACTGATCCCGCCCACTTCGGGGACAACCACTGACTATAATCACAATGGCGTCACCGCCGCCGAAAAGTGCGTGATTGCGAATTTTGTTGATGAATTCTGCTTGTGGTACTTAGTATCGGTCGTTTTGTGAACGATATTTAAAAAGGAAAGTTAGACGTATTTTATTTTCAATATAATTTAGTTGACAGGTTGTAATTGGCGAGTGAAAATGAGTAAGCTCTACATGCCCGACGACAAATCGCCTCAGCCTGCTGCTGAGAGTGGGAAGCGTATTTTCTACCAAATAATCCATCTGCCAATTCACGTTCGTCTAAGATATTAGTAGGGAAAGGTAACTGAATTATGTTGTTTGTTGTTTTTCTCAAATATTCCCATCGTAATATATAGTAAAACCGTGAACACAACCACATGTGCAAGTTGCAGATCGTTTCGATAAATAAATTGTCAAAACTGCTCGTGCCGCCTTTATTTATTTATCCGTTGTTCAAATTTAGTTAAATTAATAGTTTGTAAAACATGGGTTTCTACCTTTGAAGGAACAAAGCAGAAAAAATATCCCGTCTACTACTTCGTCCACCTTGTTTGTGTGTATACATGTATATTATCTGGGAAACGTTACTGGACATCCATGGATGTATCTGGACATACCCAGAAGCCAATATTCAGCAGCTAATCTGCAGTTATTCTTAGTAAAATTTCTCTCTTCAAAATCTGTACACCATCGTAAAATAACACTGAATATAAGGAAATCCATTTTTTAGAATCCTTTCCAATGTATTTTTCTATGTGTACTTTGTTGTGGAAATCCTAATTTACAAACGTCCACTATACTGGACTTCAAGAACTGCCAGCATCTATGTACAGGTATGTCACACCACCATAAACACAAAGAATCTAAGATACAGTCTGCACCTGTACACTGACCCATCTTCCAGAAATAGGAAACCTGTGATGCAAAATCTTCGAACAGAGGATCCACAGTTATCCGAACAATTAACTAGCATTGAAATAGAATGTTACACAACATACAAATATACTGCTTTTTCTTCAGATATATTTTACTGCTCACTACTAATGCAAATAAGAAGGAAAGAATATATTCAAAGTTTAAAGCTTCTTGTCAATAAAATTACATATTGACATTATTGTCTCTTAAACAATGAAAATCTTTGTTGTATTACATAACACTAATTCTGATCTATTTCCTTTCTGAGATACTTACTAGTGTCATCAAAATTATATCAAACTATATCGCTGTCAGATATGTTTACATTGTGTCACGGCTTTCTCGCCTGTCTCATGTCAGCTTTATGGCGTACCAACTCAGTGGCCAGTATTGACTGAAAACGTTAAGCAACAACAATTTTGTAGTTACAAGAATTGTCCGTGTTTATAACACTTGCAGACGTAGGTTTCGTGAACGATGGTGCCAACATTTAACTGTTCGTGGGACCTATCAGACTCCTTTGATCCGTCTCAAATCTATTGTCTTCGTCGTAATGGTTGTGTTAAAGGTACACATGAAATCACAGCAATATGTAATAGATATAGCAAATGTGAATGGCATAATTTGAAGACATCGCTTCTGGGGCATCGTTTGATCTCTGAAATCAGTCTGACAAATCCACAAAGCGCGCCCGGCCTGCTGAGTACTGAGTGCGCCAGTTTTGATTGACAGACTGGATCGTTCTATTAAGAGTCATCCTGTGTACAGGAATTTGTTTCTAAAGCATTTTGTCAACTGGACATGCCCTTCGACTTCATGCTAGTTATATTCATTGATCATTGTCATGTTGAAATCCATCTTGATGAACATATGGACAATTTTAGACTGCTGCCTTTTCAATGATGTTCAGTATATATTAATGTGAGAATAAATTCATGTGCTGCAAAAAGACTTGTTGGTATTCTATTGCATATTTTCATTGAGGGCTTTTGTCATTGGGGCATTTAGCCTAGGGTGTTTTGTCTGGGGGCTTTTGTCTGAGTGGGCCTATTGTCCTACCACCGCCTTGACTCACTTATCAATTAACAAGGGATTAGGTGTCTAGGGGCGTACAAAGAACACTTACCATCACCCACCAGTTATCTCCCTTGTGGGCATTTCCAAAATTGGATTTATTTGGAAATCTCATATTTCCCAAATTAGAAATGTCTTGGAAACGTCTTGGAAACATCATCTTTCTAAGACATTTCCAAGCTTGTAAATGTGGACATTTTTCCAGTGATGTGAGTGAGTCAATGAGTTTAGTTTTACGCCTCACCCAGCAATATTCAAGCTATATGGAGGCGGACTCTAAATGATCGAGTCTGACCAGACAATCCAGTGATCAACAGCATGAGCATCGATCTGCTCATCTGGGAACCGATGACATGTGTCAACCAAGTCAGCGAGCCTGACCACCCGATCCTGTTAGTCACCTCTTACGACAAGCATGGGTTACTGAAGATCAATATACTAACCCAGACCTTCACGGGTCACGAATATGTACACATACATGATACAGATTTCAGTATAAGGATGCAGAAAAATTTAAAATTAGGTATTCTACTTGATATGGTACGTTTACAGGTATTCTTTCGTTTACAGAGCTGACAATGACAGTAACAGTTCTTATTTGTGGTGGTGGCAACGGAGCCCATGTTCTTGCAGCTTTAGTGTCTTCAAAGCCTGACATGACATGTCGCGTCCTCGCACTTTCCCAGGCTCGGGAATGGACAAAAGCTGCAGCAAACAACATTCTGTTATGTTCATTCCCATCTTTCAAGGGCAAATCAACTTTATACAAAGCTAACCCCCATGCTATATCTGACGACCCTGCAGAAGTGGTGCCAGGAGCAGACATCGTCATCTTAGTTGTCCCTGCATCTTCCCATGGGAAGTACCTGACAGCCATTGAACCCTACATACAGAAGGAACCATCCTTGTTGCCTTGCCTGGAAAGCCAGGTTTTGAGTTTCAAGCCCGTCATATTCTTCAAAATAAATTTGATGACCTTATGATCACATTGGCCGAAACCCTTCCCTGGGCCTGTAGAATAGCTGAGAATGGCGTGAAGGTAAATGTAATTGGCATTAAGGAATCCTTGAAGATGTTTATTGTTCACGATGATGATAAAACTCTCCTCAATCCGTTTTGTCAGTTACAGCACATCTGGGGAAAGTTTCCAGTTATTCAGCAAGTGAGTCACAGTCTAGGTCTAACTCACAAGGCCTGTGTGATGCATCTTGGAATCTTTTATGGAAAATGGAAAGATTGTGGCAAAATGCTGTATCCGAGATACCTCTGTTCTACCAAGGCGTAGATGACATCCAAGTACAATGGATGAGTCATCTCGACGATGAAATCAACATGATAAAACTACGCATACAACGAGGAAGACCAAATGAAACCACAAGTGTACTTCAGTGGTTATTAAACACTTATGGATCGTCCATTACTGATTCAAGCAGCCTTAAACAAGCTCTGACAACAAACCAGGCGTATAGTGGAATATTTCATACCATGATTACAGCTGACCAAGGATATATACCAGACTTTAAGAGGCGGTATCTAACAGAGGATGTTCCATTTGGCCTCGTAGTGTACAAAGGTTTAGCACAGATTGTTGGTCTGGAAACACCTGCAATAGATACAGTTTTGCACTGGAGCCAGCAGAAACTAGGAAAGACATACATCGTGGGATCTGGACTGTGTGGTCGGGACTTACATGAGACGAGAGCCCCCCAGGTGTATGGCATCAGGTCCCTTGAAGATTTAGAAACATTTGCTCAATCTCGTTTCTGACTTTGTTCACCATTTTATGTACGCTTGAAATCACACAGATAGCCACGGTGGATCTCACCATTCACTGCCATTTACATTCAGCCTTTGTCCAAAGGGGCATATTTATGTTATTTACAGGTTGTAAAAGTAGTTGTGAACACAACGCGATATGTCTTGAATTGTTATCATAAATGTTCTCGTTTGTGCAAAAGTGAATTTTTTAAAATATATGGCACAAATTCAAATACGTTGGAGATCCGGTATGGCGGTGTTTAGATTTAGCCTTACTTTTTCTCTCTGATCACTGGTTTATATCAGCAGTATGACCATGTTTGTGTCAAGTATTTATGGAGGTTATAGTACACCAAACCAGAATCCGTAGTTTAACAAGAACTTTTCGTTGCCTTCGGCGCAGGTTGAATCTTTTGACAGCTGTGATTGGATGATTTTGTGTAAGATTTGTTTGTGTTTTTAATGTACATCCAATTCAGTTATTAAAACTAACCATATTGTTCAGCATTTAGTCAGTATTACATGGCGACTTCTGCATAAAAGTATTTTCAAGCAGATGGTATTTTTTGCAGAAACTGGGGTTTAGCTTCCTGGAATAGGAAAAAGTTATACTCATGTATTTTGTTTTAATGCACCTTTACTGCACCTTTAACGTTGAACTAGGCACATATGTACATGCATTAGCTGTTGACGGCCTAGTTAATTGAAAAAAATATATAACCGTACTGTAAAAATCAATGGGGAAAATATTTGGTTTTGTGTAACCTGGAGTTGTTCATATTTAATTGGTGCAAACCGAACTTGAGTACAGTATCATGCAGTTCAAGAGGTGTCTTGTGGCGAACGCTTCTGATCTGAGATCAGAAGCTCTCTCGTTTCCAGTCAGTCGTAAAACGCGTTAGATGGTACAGCAGCACCAGAATAGGTGGAGAGAACTCTTGGAGATGGGTTTTGTTCACATCCGAGCTTTATGAGGCTCTTATTATTTATGTCATTTTTTTTAAATGACTTTAATGAATGAATGTGCTCTGGCAGTTTCGTGCAATGGTCTTCCATCCGTCTGTCAACTGCAATATGTTGGGTCACTGCAGAAGGGTTCCCAGTTACCCCATGAGGGACGTCGGCACCTTACCCCAACATCTCTCTCACACACACAGGGAGACATACACACACACACACACACACACACACACACACACACACACACACACACACACACACACACACACACACACACACACACACACACACAAACACATTAAACACACATAGTCCAATAGTTTGGACTATGTGGAAATTCCCTGATCTTTGCTGAAAAATCCCTGCAAATTTTGTTCATCGTTACTCTTGCAATTGTGTCACGTTTACAAAACCGCCATGCATCGCACTTTTTAGTCTATTTACTAACTTTATAGAGGGAACTGAATGTCAAAATAGCATGTAAGTGATCATGGGTGTCTGTATTTTTATCACATCAAAAATGATTATTCTGAAAGGCTTCTGATAACCCTGTCCCCGTTTGGGATAAGCAACTCGTACACTTGCCCTTTGGGAACATGGCACTATCATCCACCTTACAACTCAGTCCACTGACCCTGAGACTAGGTGAAGTTCTATGTAACTGTTTCAGTGACATGCAGGAAAGTGAGTGTGGCGGACGTAAAAGTGTTCAGTTTGTGTTCAGTTTGAAGTGTTATCTGGAGAAGTCTTGGATCCAATGCAACTGTAAAGTTTTAAAGTTACAACGCTATATTTTTATTTGACAATTAGGTCACCGAATATAAAAACTGTTCAGAAATGGTGTCATATGTTCCTGGAGGTTTCTTACATGGATGCTTTTTGATATCTCATCTTCTGTAATAAGAATATCGTGCATATCCTCTGTAATTCATTCAATGACATCATTATTTGAACATCTATCTTGTAAAATACATGATCTAGCTTTTGGGGTATTATTGATTATATGATAATATATTGAATAAATGTGCTCAAATATGCACTAATAAATGATCTCACCATCAACAACGTGCAGTTGATTATTCTGCCTGTACCGATGTGTTTTGCAACTGATGACCCCTGTCAACCAAGTCAGCAAGTCTGACCACCTGATCTCGATCGTCGCCACTCATAACAACAGTTGTGCCTGAAGACCTTTGTTTGAACAACGCTGCAGTTAACTATCACCGCACTTTATAACTAAATTGCTAAAGTGTTTTCAACTCCTCTTTATGCCAAGCATTTGCCTGGCCTGATTTCGCCACTTGGTATTAGAGTTCATCCACATATGAATCCAGAGAGGGTTTAAACATAATACCACCTTACCGACTTCTTGTCTTCCGTGGCAGGTAGTGATGCAGAGGTGAGCCTTACATTTTACACAGGGTAAATAGTCAGAAGGAAATGCAGTGGAATAAAGTGGATTTGAGTGAGTGAGTGGGCTTAATTTTACGCCGCACTCAGCAATATTCCAGCTATATGGCGGCGGTCTGTAAATAATCGAGTCTCGACCAGACAATCCAGTGATCAACAGCATGAGCATCGATCTGGGCAATTGAGAGCCGATGACATGTGTCTACCAAGTCAGCGATTCTGACCACCCGATCCCGTTAGTCGCCTCTTACGACAAGCATGGGATACTGAAGGTTCGTTCTAACCCGGACCTTCACGGGTCAATGTGGATTTGAATCAGATGCAAACATAGCTCTCGGACATACATTTCCATAGGCGGATCCAACATTGATTACAAAGTTACCAGTGATACTGACATTGGATATGGCATTTATTTATTTAATATGATCTGTTTTATATAGTTTTCAACTAATGGAAATAAGAAATATCATGCCTCAATCGTTGCAAGAGGGTTGGAATATAAAGCAAGTGGCATGACCATTTACATATCAAAGGCTGCATACAAGAATTTTCTCCACTCATTTTGGTCTTGTAGAACCGACCATAAGGCCCAGGGATGGAATTCGAACCATGAACTTTCTTATCCGACGTCGGACGCCTTGTCCACATGATCAAATTAAACCAAACGCACAACATAAGGCATTTCTCGAGCTGTATAGTAAGGTAGTCCGATGTTTGCCCACATTTGAGATACACGTGCTCAGCCCAACGTCAGGCTTTAATTTAGCGACCACATAATGCATATGAAATTTATATACAACAAAGACTGTGGCAACTTGAGAAATGTTTGACACAATGGAGAGAGCTGATACTAGAATTGACAAAAATAACCTTCTAGAAATATATGGCCAAGTCACAGTGCACGTTTTGCTGCATGTTTACAAATATAAGAACATTTGATATGAATAGACCGATCCAGTCCCGGCCGATAAGCCCCGCCCACTTCGTTTTTGACGTTAGGGGGGACAACCACTGAAAAATCACAATGGCGTCACCGCCGGCAAAACGTTACGTGATTGCGAACGTTGTTGATGAATTCTGCTTGTGATACTTTGGTATCCGTCGTTTGTGAATGTTATTTAAAGAGGCAAGTTATACGTATGTGATTTTGAATATATTTTAGCTTGCGGATTGCAACTGGCGAGTGAAAATGAGTTACATGCCCGATGGAAAATCGTCTCGACTAGCTGAGACTGTAGGAAGCGTAATTTCTTTCGAATCAATTAATCTATCTGGCAATTCACCTCCGTCACAGATATTAGCAGAAGAAGGGTAACTGAATTTTGATGTTTGGGTTTATAATTTTATAAAACTCGTGAACACAACCACGTGTTCATGTTGCAGATCGTTTCGGTATCTATAAATAGATTATCAACACTGCGCGTGGCGACTTTACTTATCCGTTGGCGTTGTTCAAATTTAGTTCAATAATCTGAAAACATGGGTTTCTATCTTTTAATGAATTAATTACGATGGTAAATAAAAGCAGAAAATATTTCCCGTCTACTACTTCATGCACCTTATTTGTTTGTATATAATTAATGTAAACAAATCAATCTCAGCATAACCTATTTGATCTTATTTGGAAATCTGGAAAAGGTAATTGGGCTTGTAAACAGTATGTTTCCATGGACGTATCTGGACATACCCAGAAGCATATATTCAACAGCTGATCTGCAGCAATTCTCAGTAAAGTTTCTCTCTTGTACACCATGATAAAATGACACTGAATATAAGGAAATAATTTTTTTTTAATCATCATTTCCATTTTATTTTTCTATATGTACTTTGTTGAGGAATCCTAATTTACATACAAACTTCCACAAAACTGGACTTCATGAACTGCCAGCGTTTATGTACAGGTATGCCAAAGCACCAGAACACAAAGAAGATCCAAGATACAGTCTACACCTGTACACTAGCTGACCCATCTTCCAGAAATAGGAAACATGTGATGCAAAATCTTGGAACAGAGGATCCACAGTTATCCGAACAATTAACTAGCATTGAAATAGAATGTTACACAAAATACAAATGTAAATCTATTGTTTTGTCATCAGAGATGTTTAACTGCTCACTACTAGATCTAGTGTAAATAAGGTGGAAAGAATATATCCTATGTTCAAAGCATTTTGTCAATACTACATATTGACATTACTGCTTCTTAAGTAAACAATGATAATCTTTGTTTTATTAGATCTGAGACCATATCCCTAGAGGACATAACACTGATTTTGATCAATTTCCTTTCTGAGGTACTTACTGGTGTCATAAAAATTATAGTAAAGTTGATTCAAAATTTGGTAAAAGTCATAACAAAGGTTTAGGAAAACAGACATGAAAAAAGTCCTGAAGCGTTCACCTCCTACAAACCAGTGTGCAATTTAATATGGAGCTCATTTTCCAAATAACCATCAACAAACCTTGAACAATTTGTCCAAATCCATCATCTTAATAAACACTAGCTTTGGCTCAGTCTTCAAATATTAGTAACCTCCTAAAAACTGATGATTTATCAGAAGAATTACACCAAATATGGGTTAAAAAATATGTTTCAATATTTATTCCGTTACATGAAAAGTCAACTGAGATTTTTGTAA